ATAAACTCATTTCATTTTGTGTCAGTTTTGTCTGAGGAAAATAAGATTGTGACAACAGGTATACCAGCTTCATTCAAATGACACACTGCAATATAGTAGTAAAACATTTGCAATATTTCTTAGAGAGATAATGTGAGTGGAATAGCATGCTGTCACAAGACAATGGCTGCCTGTTACAGATAACTACCACAATTATGTATTGCTTTAAAAAAAGAATATTGCAGTGAGGCAAAGACCTTTTTTTTTTTTCAAAGTGGAATCCAGTTATCCCATGTCAATGTTCTATTCCAAAGATCTTATTTCTGTTCTAACAAATGATTAAGGATGTAGATAGTCAGTCTCCATGACGGACAGTTGTGCAGTAGAACAACAGTTGCTTGCAGCCTAACATTTGAAAGCTGTGCTCTGACTCGCTTGATAAATTGCTATAGCACAAAACCAGAGAAATCAGAAATGTATTCATGAAAATATTTGGTCTCAAAATTGTACTGCAAAGAAGAGTTTTCTGTTCAGCTGGCTTTTTTAATTACGGTCTTAATTTATCAGGAGCGATCACAGAATCCATTTGCCACAGAAAAACTTGGAATTTGCATCTATGGAGAATCTTTAGTTTTTACATTTTGTGAAAAAATAAAAACATATACCGGGGAACCCCAATTATCTGATCTAATTGGGACCAGGGCCAGAGCAGATAATCAAAAATTCAGATAATCAGGAAAATGAGCGAAGCTCAGGCTGTCAGCTTTAAAATTGTGAATATATCAATAAAACATTGTATTCAACTGATACCTATATATATCGTGGCTAGAAAAAAACTAAAGTTCAGAGTTTCATTTTATTTGCAGAAAAACATGGATTTTTGAGTTTTTATTAGATAATTTTGAGGGTTTTATCACAGAAAACTAGGATCCCTGTTGAACAGTAAAGTAGGGTGTCAGACATGCATCTGACTGTCTGATTTATGTTATCTAAAATTTTACCAGTGTATCAGTGACACACAAGATTGTAAATGCTCCTGGCATATCATGTACATTATAATGAAAGGGATCTAAAGAAAAACCCCAGAGCTCACTATGAAGACATCTGACACCAGGAAAGTTGTCAAAACTTCCTACTGAATGAGGAAATCCCTGTTTTCAGTTAAAAGTTCTGATGGTAATTTGTTCCCAACCATTTAAAACACCCTTAGTTAAATCTCTGCTCTCATTTACACCTATGCCTCCTCATCCTCTTCCCACCTGCCAAGTCTCCTTAAATGTTCCCAGTCCCACTCTGGCACCTTTTCTATGCCATCATTTATACCTGCAACTTGCGTCCTCTTATTGTTTATTTCCTTCAAACCATGATGGCTCAGCTGAGGATTACTGATGCTCATTTTAACAGCACAAATAATTTGCAACCAAACTGTTCAGTATCTCTATCGCCATGTAATTTAATTAAAGTTATCCTCATCTTCCCTCCCTGCTTCCCTCTTACTGTTTGTTAAATTCCCTTGTTGCACCTGGCTTCAATTTAGGCCCCAATTCTGCAAAGAAATATGCACATGAGCAATCTCATTGAAGTCAGATGCTTAATTCTTTGCAGAATCAAAGCACTAGGCTACAAACTCTTTAGGGCAAGGACTTTGTCTACCTAGGAGTTTGTACAGCACTTGCCACAACAAGGCCCCAATCCAGACTGGAGCATCCAAACTCTACCATGATACAAACAGCAGTAGAATAATAATCTCCTTAAAGCACGCTTATTCAATGAAGCCGCCCAATCATGTTCTCTCCTACATGTTGCCTTCATCCAAGCTTCCACCATCATTAGATGTATCATGTATGTCACTATATCTACAGAGCACCACGGAGAGTTGACACTGAACAAAATAATATATTTACCCATCATGTGGAAGAATGTAATACTATAAACATTTTGAATAAGGTCTCCAGGAGTTTGGTTAATATTATAGGATAAACTCTACCCTTGACGCATACAAATACTTTAAATTATTATTAGTGTTTACATACACCAAGAGAAAAATGTGTCCCTAAATCTCTCCAGTACAAAAATGTTTACTGGACTTTAAAAATGATTGGCAAGCTTTTTGTTGTTCGGGTTTTACACCCCCGCTGGTGTCCTGTTAATTCGATCATTCTTACAGTCTCTCAGCCTCTTGTGTTTTCCCTGCTTGGTATCCTCATTGCAAAACTTAGAATTCAAAGCATGGAGCTAGAGAGCTGTGTAAATATGTGGAAGAGAGAGTTCTAGTAATCTGTTATTTATGTTACACTTCATAAGTCTATACAGAGTGGTAGGGATGTGCTATCAGAACACCACAGCAGTTACACATGGTCAGTAACACTACAATACATGCAAAATTTGTCTGGTAAACCTTTACTTGTGGCATAATGCATAGAATAAAGGAGGGAACTTTGGGTTTTTTTATGCCAAGAAACAAAATATATCTATAAAGACAGAATAGCTAAGAATAGCAAGAGATTTTAGTAGAATTTCATAGTGCATACATAATGTGGGAATTTGGTTTTAGAGGAAAATCCAGTGTTGCCATTAAAGGGAAAAAGAGAGGAGGCAGCTATGGCCCTAATTCTGCAGCCATCACGGTGGAATCTGAATTCATACAAGTGGAGCTCATTGCAGAATCAGGTTCTGTTTTAGTTCAATACTTATACAACATATTCATTCTAACAGGCTTCTCTCCCACATCCCGCTGCTTTGATCTCAAATTTCTATGGACCACCAGAAAATGGTTCTGCAGATCACAGCAGTTTGAGGATCAATTTATTAGATTACACCCAAAATGTATTATATTGCCACTCAACTAGTTTTTCAGCCAGTTACATAAATACTGAAGTCAAATAAATGCCTAGAAAATTCTTTTGAAAGAGAATATTTATATTTGCCAAAAAATGCTCCCAGATGTTGCTTTAAATAAATGCCTCAATCCAGACTCACTAATTATAATAATCACAATAGAGCAGTACTGAGTTATTGTATAATAACTTGGCACACTATAAGAGATCTGTGTTTTCTTTTTTATTTAGATCTCACTCGGGTATATTATCAGTGGACTCACATCTTCTCACCATATGCTATGTTCATCAAAAGCTACCTAAGATTGTTCTCCCCAGATCCCCATCTTCTATGCACAATGTAATTGGCATGCAAGCTGTGTACCTGTTCCCACTGAGATTGTCCAGAACTAGATTAATACTGTATCTTGTCTCATCACTCCTCGGCAAAGAGGTAACAGTAATAATAATTATGGCCCTTTTAACATTTAAATTAGACTATCTGCTTTTATCCCCCCCCTTTGAGATTGTGTGCATGTAGGATTAGCTATTTAGTTAACTGGTGACAGGCATCCAGAGACCCTGTAGCTGGGTCTCTGGATGCCTGTCACCGGGTCTCTGGATGCCTATCACCACCCCATACCCTCCATTTGCATGAACTGGGGTTACACTGCCTGGCAAAACTATTACCCCAAGCTCCTACAGTTTTATTTTTTTCTTTTTTGGATGGGCCAGTAAAATGTCATTTTCTCCCCTTCCCCTCCCCATCATCCCAGTAGATTAAGGCCACAGTCAGAGTGGCAAGCCAGTTTTATGGATGGACTGGTAAATGTATATGCACTTTTTGCAAGGCTGCGTTAAACCCTTGCACTCTGACATGGCTGGTACCTACGCTCTCTCCACCATCTCCTCACACCTTCAGGTTGGGTTACACCATGATATGAGTCTTCCAACCTCACCGCTGAGTTACACCTTGATGTACATCAGCCCCCAACCCTGACATCTGGGTTAGGCTCTGATCATGGCACATGCCCCATCTCACATATGGCATATGCCCATCACAAGGTTGGGGCTGGGAGAAGATCCCTGAGAGCCTGTGAACAAGGGGAGAATTGCATCCCTTTGGAGAGGAGCAAGGGGCGCAGACTCAACAACTATCCTCCTAGAAGACTCCGGTCTAAGAAGACCCTGTTGCCAGGGGTCTCGGGTGACGGGTTGTGTGGCTTTGGGGTCCCAGCACATAGGCTCCCCAAAACCAGCTGGCTCTGGGCACCAAGGGGAAGGGAGATGGGCAGCAGGTCCCTGGGAAATGGGGCTCCTGCAAAGGATGTTTCAGGCCCTGGAGGAATGGGGAGCAGAGCCACGCAGCAGGGCCAGATGGAACAAACAGTGCCTTGGGGAAGCTCCCCTCGCAGTTTAAGTGCCTGGTCTACCAGAGGTCAGCCCCCTTATGGGGGCTCCGGGGTCCCAGTTCCCAGGCTGTAGCTCAGGAAAGGAGGTCCCAGGACACCAGGCACTGTGTGGGGTGGGGGGGTCCCTGGGACTTCGCAAAGTGCAGCAAAGGTCTATGGTGCATCCGGGCTGTCCCGCCACCGGGGGCTGGGGAGGGCCCCAGCTGCGGGTGCGGGAGGTCTCCAGGTTGGGGGCTGTGGGAGGGTCCAGCCAGGCAGTGGGGGGGGGGGCGGGGTTGGGGGTGCAGGGGTCCAGTCTGGGGGCAGCAGGAGGTCCGGGCTGGGAAGGGTCTGTGGCTCGGGGGGTGGGGAGGGGGGGGAGTCCCAGGCCTCAGGGCTGCTGGGGGTAGCGGGGGCATCCCGGCCGGGCAGTATGGGGTCCCCGGGCTGGGGATGTGGGGATCCAGTCTGGGAACTTCAGGGGGTCTCCAAGCTAGGGGCTGCGGCGATCTAGTCTGCGGGTGCGGGGGGGAACCCGGGCTGGGGAATCCAGTCTGGGGGGTGCGGGGGGGTCCCGGCCAGGCAGTAGGGGGTCCCCGGGCTGGGGGTGTGGGGGTCCAGTCTGGGGACTTCAGGGGGTCTCCAAGCTGGGGGCTGTGGGGGTCTAGTCTGGGGGTGCGGGGGGATCCCGGGTTGGGGGATCCAGTCTGGGGGTGCAGGGGGGTCCCGGGCTTGGGGGGTCCAGTCTGGGGGTGCAGGGGGATCCCGGGTTGGGGGGTCCAGGTCTTGGGGGGGTCCCGGGCTGGGCTGGTACCTGGGCTCCGGCAGGCTGATCTTCTTGCTGGCCCGCGCCGCCGGGGTGCTCTTGCTCTTCTCCATCGCCATCAGGTAGCTGACATCGGCCAGCACCGCCTCCAGGTCCGCCATGTTCCCCGCTCCCCGCCGGGCTGCAGATGGAGGCGCCGCCGGGGGCAGCGACCCGCGGCTCCAACGGCCGCCGCGCGCGCGGGTGGGGGGGGCGGGGAGGAGGAGGAGGCTCGCGCCGGCTGCGCGCGGGGCTGGGGGGGAGGAGGAGGCTCGCGCCGGCTGCGCGCGGGGCTGGGGGCTGGGGGGGGGGGGAGGAGGCTCGCGCCGGCTGCGCGGGGGGGGGTCAGGCCCCGGCTCTCTCCCCCGTCCCCACACGGGGGCCGAGCTCCGCTGCGCCCCGGCCGCGCTCAGCGCCCCGGCCCCGGGACGGACGCCCCGTGCCCCGGCCGCGCTGCCCGTTCAGGCGCCGCCGGGAGCCATGCCGCTGCCCCGGTCCGGGGTGCCGGGGCAGATCCAGGCGATGGCCCTAGAGCCGCCCCCTGGCCTCCCGCCCGGCCCCTGCGCCCATCTCCCCAGCGGCAGAGAAGCGGGGCGCCGGCGACCCCAAAGCGCCTCTGGGGCCAGCGGCCGCGGCTCCTTGCGGCCGCGAGGTCCCCCCTCCCCGGCCCGGGCGGGCGGGCGGGCGGCTCGGAGCCCGGCGGGCGCCCCCGGGACGCTCCCGTCGCCGCTCGACCCAGCCGCAGCGGGACGGGGAGCCCTGGCCCCGGGGCTTGCCGGGCAGCAGCCCCCGCGTGGGGCAGCGCCCGAGGCGGAGCCGCCACGCGTGTCCCCGTCCCCGCGCCGAGACCCCCTTCCCCGCCGCGGCCTCGTGCCAGTGGGTCCTTCTGCGGCCGCGGGGGGGGGGGCTTTTAATCGGGGCTTGGGGAGCCCTGGTCTCCCCCTCCCCTCCTCCTGGCTGACAGCGCGGCGGGGCCGGGGCCGGGGCTCGCGCCAAGACCCGGAGCTGGACTCTCTCCCCGCGCGGCTCCGTTTCCTGCGTGCCGGCGGCAGAGACTCCTCCTGCGGGGGTGCCGCTCGGGGCGGGGGGGGGCCCCTGGGTGATTACTTCATCTGCTGACAGCTAAACCGACTGCAGTGAGATTTACTATGAAATATGGGGGGGGGGGGCTGGACTCCTACATTCGGCTTAAGATTTTAACACAAGGCAAGAAATGTAAAGGATGGGGGCCATAACTTAAGAGGTATTATGCAAATGCCCAAAGGAAACATTTAAAGGGGGTTCTTTCCTGCTCCTTCGTTTATAAAGGGTAAGGAGTGATTTATAACGTTTTCCATCCCTCACAAATGATTTTTGTTTTGTTTTTCCTTCGAAGTAGCAGGAGTATCAAGTCTTGACCACCCAGGATTTTGCTGAAAGTCATAAAAAGGGACGGAATGCTAAACATCACAATAGATGGATTTCACGGGGGCTCTGCAGTGGGTGCAGAATTCACCCCCATGCATCAGATTCCAGGACTGGGGTCTAACACACACTCAGATTAGACATCTCCTTTTCCTGCAATTGAGGGCTAGGAAGCTTGCAGCTCAAGTTTCAGTGTATTGTGATGTCAATATCCATTAGTTCTGTAGTCCTCTACCAAAAACATCAAGACCAGCTATTTCTAAAGTTAGTTTTTTTTTAAAAGGCAGAAAAAATTCTTTGAGACTGTCTTTACACATCATAAAGAAGCAATAATGGGTACAAACACAGTGTCCTTTGGTTGGTTTTGCTTTACAGCTCACCTTTTGTGCTTCAAATATAGTATAACTTTGTTCCTTTTAAGGGACATTTCTTCAAACATGTTGGCCAACAGGCGAATGAAAGGCTACAAGTTTCTGAAGTTTTAAATTAAGCTGGTTTTGAGTTCTTTATAGGTGCCCCTTTGCCCACTACTTCTATTTAAAAGTTAGTGATCTGATTAAAGCTATGTCAACTATACATCAGATGATTTAAATGACCTATTTAATCTAGATACAATTTTAAAAGTAGTGTTTTAATTTCCATATGTCCGTTGAGCTGGCACTGAAAGCTGAATCTGGTGAGTACTGTAATTTGTTTTCCATAAATCCTCAGATTCAAACCAAGCCCATCTCTTGTATTCTAAACTCTATGTCAGTGACTTAACATTTTTGTGGTTGCAGGGTAAAAAGCCATGAAACCTGGATACCCGCATACCAAGGTAAAAAACAAAACCATTAACCTGGATACCAGCAGTTCTGTGTAACACAAAAATGTGCTTCTCAGGCTCACTCGCGAAAAGTGCTGACCACTCTAGTCTTACCCCAATCCAGCAAACAGCCTAAATGTGCTTAACCATTGTCATCAGTTAGACTACTTACCTGCATGAAGTTGAGCCCCTACAAGGCCTAATTAGGTAAAGGTAGTAAAATAGGAAGACATATTCCAATTTATCAGTCATCATGTGGGAGGATTCAACCCTATCCACAATTTTAGCGAGAATATTTGATTATCCATGGGTATTATCCTGATTCTTTTAGGACAGGTATTTAAGTCCTGACTACTTCACCACCAACCAACCCCCTTTCCCCATTCATCATTACCACAAGACATGCAGATACTCAGAGAGTTTGTTCTCTTCTTCTGAAATGCACTGAGCAAGGGAAGTTACTGGCAGCAATGAATTTTTCATAACTGACCTAGCTTGATACTGTTGCTAAACATTAAATCCCCCTTGTAATCAAATAGGGAAAAAAACGAATAGCAATCCATTAACATCTGCCTAATAAGTCCTTTTCAAAGGTTTTTTTTAAAGGAAAAAAATACTTAAAATTATGTTGATTATGATAATGGCTAAGACAATACCACTTAGGGCTCAAAGTTCCTTTTTATTCTCAGTGTTGTTTTTTGCCATTATTATCTAGATTTCATTGAAATGTACACTTTAAAAGGCTCTTTGTGAAAATTTGTGTGAAGTCACTTTTGATAATAGCTCATGCTAAAAACCAGTTAAACTTGTTTTCTTTTGAATGCTTTCAGGTTTTATTGATGCTTTCTTTCACTATACCAATAAACAGAACATAAAACAATAAATTTGGTTGTAAGAAATGCTGTTCTTTTCACAATTTATATTGAATATATATATTTGTTATTCAGTCAGATCTTGGCAATACAAAACTTTTTTGTGTATTTTTAATTGTGGCAAGGTAGTGTACATTCTGTATATACTATGCTGTAATTTGACTAGTTGCTGCATGAACCTCTTGGATATTCATATAGGTTCACCAAGACCAGGGTAACAAGATCTGAATAGAAGTGTATGAATGGAAATGAATGACTCTAGTTAAAAGAAGTAGACTAGCCCTGTGGCTAAAGGGCAAACATGGTGAAATTATGGCGATTACAACAATTAATAAAAATAACTTTTCGACCTTTTTGTCCAAAGTACTCCAAACTGTTGTTCAGAAAACATATGTTAAAAATAGAAATAGCATATAAGAAACACAGCACCACAGAACGGTATATTTGGGGTGACTGATCAGTTAGACAAACTGCTCCTAGTCACCCTGGTTTTTAGAGAACCTTCTGATCTCTTAAAATATACTGATACAGTCTGAGATCTGAATGGAAATGGCTTAGAATTCAGCTTGCCAGAATATGAGTTAGTGCATCTACAGGTTACAAGTAAATAGCCATAATCACTATAAAGGGCAAGGCCTAATTTAGATGTTAAGAATACATTCAACACTAGTTTCTGCATCATTTTGGGAAAACATCTGTTGGTGAGGGAGGTTGGTCCAATAAAAGATATTACCTCACCCACCATGTCTCTTGAATAAATTAGCGGAAGGGTAAATGCAGATTTCAGCCAAATAAACTCAGATTATACTTTCTGAAACTAACAAAGGATAGGTGCTGCTAGGGAGAGTCAACATGGCTTTGTAAAGGGAAATCATGCCTCAACAATGTTAGAATTCTTTGAGGGTGTCAACAAGCATGTGGACAAGGGTGATCCAGCTGATACAGTGTAGCTGGACTTTCAGAAAGCCTTCTTAAGCAAAGTAAGCAGTCATGGGATAAAACGGAAGGTCCTCTCATGAATCAGTAACTGGTTAAAGGATAGGAAACAAAGAGTAGGAATAAATGGTCACTTTTCACAATGGAAAGTGGTAAATAATGGGGTTCCCCTTGGATCTGTACTGGGACCTGTACTGTTCAACAGGTTCATAAATTATATGGAAAAGGGGTAAACAATGTGTGGTAAAGTTTGCAGATGATACTAAATTACTCAAGAAACTTAAGTCTGAAGCTGACTCAGAAGAGTTACAAAGGGATCTCACAAGACTGGGTGACTGAGCAGCAAAATGCCTGATGAAATTCAATGTTGGTAAGTGCAAAGAAAACATAATCCCAGCTATACATTCAAAATGATGAGTTCTAAATTAGCTATTGCCACTCAAGAAAGATTTTGGAGTCATCATGCATAGTTCTCTGAAAACATCTGCTCAGTGTGCAGCAGCAGTCAAAAAAGCTAAAAAAGTTGGGAACCATTAGAAAATGGATAGATAATAAGACAGAAAATAGCATAACACGATTGTATAAATTCATGGTACACCTACACCTCAAATACTGCCCACAGTTTTGGTCATCTCAAAAAAGATGTATTAGAGTTGGAAAAGGTACAGAAAGGGCAACAAAAATTATTAGGGATATGGAATAGCTTCCATACAAGGAAAGATTAAAAGGCTGGGGCAGTTCAGTTTAGAAAAGCGAAGACAAAGGGGGGATATAATAGAGGTCTATAAAATCATGAATGGTGTAGAGAAATTGAACAGGGAAGTGTTATTTGTCCCTTAACATAAACACAAGAAATGGGTCAACCTTAATAAAATTAATAGGCAGCAGGTTTAAAACAAACAAAGTATTTCTTCACACAACACACGGTCAACCTGTGGAACTCATTGCCAGGGGATGTTGTGAAGGCCAAAAGTATAACTGGGTTCAAAAAAGAATTAGATAAGTTCATGAAGGAAAGGTCAGTCAATGGCTATTAGCCATGATGGTCAGGGATGCAATCCCATGCTTTGGCTGTCCCTAAGCCTCAGACTGTCAGAAGCTGGGAATGAACGGCAGGGGATGGATCACTCAATAACTGCCCTGTTCTGTTCATTCACATTGGATCATCTGGCACTGGTCACTTTCAGAAGACAGG